TGAAAATAATTGAAATCTTTATAAAAATTTTATAAAAATTGTTTTAAATAATTAATTTTTTCGAAATATAATAAATATTATGAAAATTTTATTGAAAATAATAGAATTCTTGTCGAAAACTTTAATTGAGAAAATAATTGAATTTTTTGATTAAATAATTTAAAATAGTATTAGAAATAATTGAAATTCTTGAATGAATTTTATTATTTATGAAAATAATTGAATTCTTGCTTAGAATTTTATGAAAAAATTTTTTAAAAAATTGAGTTTTAATGAAAAATGTTATTATTAGTGAAAGTAATTGAATAATTGTGAAGAATTGTATAAAAATTTTGTTAAATAATTCATTTTTTGGAAATTTTTTTGAAAATACTATTTTAAATTTTAATTGAATTCCTGTAAAATTTTATTATTTATAAAAGAATTGAATTCTGGATGAATTTGATCAATTTTGAATAGTTGTTGAAAGTATAATTATACCGTTTTAAAGAATTTGATTATAATTTTTGAGAATAGTTTTTTGATTTCTTGTATTAAAAAATTTAAAGTAGGTACCCAATGGGAAATGCCAGTGTAGTGCCGATGTTTACCACTGGCTTAGTACTCAGACGATTGTTCGGCGTAGTCTAGCCGAGCCTCAACAATTAGTGCTGGGGCAGTACAGAACTTTTGTTTCGCCAAAGCTTGGACAAGCCACGGCGGCAAGTGCTGGCTGAGTATAGAAAAATTGTTCACAACGCTCTTTGCCAACATTGCTTTTTTGACATAAACTTGAAAAAAATTATAAAAAAAGTTTATAAATGTTTATAAATATAAATTTATTGAAAAAAATTAATATTTTACTTTTGAGTTGTTCATTTTTTATTCTTATTAAATTTAATAATAACAATTTAACACAATTATCTAATTTTGAAAATAATAAATTATTTAAACAAATTAAAATTATAAACAAAATTTAAACTTTAATCTCAATAATAATTTGGTTCCTATTAAAATACTATTATACTTCTTACTATTAAAAATTTAGTTTAATTTATTTTATTTCAATTTATTATTTCTAACGTATCCGTATTTTTTTCTCATCTTTGACTCAATAATTGTATGTATGAATGATACTGAGATATTAATACTTTACTGTACACATGTGTCGTTAGCATAGTGGTTAGAGCATTTTTAGTCTGTTAGTCCGTAGGTCGTAGGTTCGATTCCCCTCGTCAGCAATTTTGTTTATTTTCATAGGTTTGCGATATTTCTAGATTCCATTCGTTAGGTACTAAAATATGAAAATCTAATGCACACTTACTGTAATTGTTTATTATTTAATTTTTAAATGTTATAAACAATTTTTTTCTACTTCATTTACTATATCCATTGTTAGTCTCCATCTTTAATACAATTTCTTTAAGAAGATAAATATTTTATGAATAATAACTATTTATTAATATTATTTACCATTTTGTTGTTAAATTATTTATAATTATGAATTTACGACTAATTAATAACAATACGGCATTTATTGCGGCAATATTCTCAGCCAGCACTGGTCCAGTGCTGCGCCAGTGCTGCCTGGCAGCACTGACAGACAGTACTTCGGCAGCGCCAGACGGCGTTATCATCCCAGTGCCATGCCAGTGCTGGCAGTGCTGGCGCAGTACTACGCCAGTTGTAAATTTCCCATTGGGTAGTGGAAATTCTCAAGAAAAAAAAAATGGTAGCGTTTAGTGGATGAAATCTAAAAAAAGTACTCAAATAGTATCATAAGTGCGAAGCCTGTAATTACAATGTAATCAAAATTTAGAGTTATTTTTAATTTTGCGAATTAATTTTTTATGGAATAATGATGGAAATAAAAGGAATGTTTGTAGGATAAAGATTTGCCCACTCATCATTTTCCAAATCTAACCTAGAATTATATTATGTTTTGCTCTATAAAAAACGAACGAGAAATAATTTGAATTGTATATATTCTAAACACGAAATGTAATGAAAAATTCTCGAATTTGATTAAAGAAGAAGGTCTTTCTTATGGTAATGTATTCCGATTCAATTATTTATGTAACCACAATATAATTAAATCTGCATAAGTAGATATAAATAACAAATTTTAATCCTTTATGACTAATTCTAAAGGTTCTGTTATACTTTTTCTCTCACCGATAATGAAAAAAATGGTATTAATTCAAAAAGCGTAACGAATCGATTAAAAATTGTGATTTAAATTTTACGTAAAAACTTTGAAAAAGAGAGAAAGAGATCTTTTTAAAAGTTTTTACCTTGACTCATCTCAAAATGTAAGAGATTGGGATTATTTTCCCAGGATAAATTGATTATTACGAAATCAGTGAGCAGTATACTCGCAAATGCAATTTTAAGCAAACTTTGCGTTAAATGGTCTTTCCAGGTGGTCAGCGGTCGCTAAAATCAATGAGCCTCGACCATTTCCGTGTAAAAAATGAAGCTTAATCTGATTTGAATGGGCGGAGAAGAGTGAGTTTTGATGAAAGGCACCTCCATTTCAGAAGAAGAAGAATGCCTTCGTGAATTATTGAAAGGCGTAACTAATTTCTAAAAAAATTAGGAATGCTCCTAGCTTCTAATTTCTTCATTTCTTCCTAATAAAAACAAACTTTACAGACATTACAGTACTAGACCAAATTTTTAATCCGATCGGAATTTTTTCTTCGCTTTAAACAAAATTTAAATCCTCTATAAATAAATTTTTCTGAATTATTTACTATGCAGAGAATAATTTTTCTCATAGAATTTTAAATGTTGTTTAATTTTATTTCATTTCATAATGTCAATTTTAATTCACAATTTGAAAGAAAATTCCCACCAGATTAAAAATTTGTTCTAGTAACTATAAGAATATTTTCTCAATGAAAAAGTTTGATTTCAATGAAAAGAAAAAAAGAGCCGTTACATAAAAGAAGAGAGAAACTTCGTCAAGAACCGAAAAATCTTGAATAGAAGCGAATCTTTTAATTTTTAATTAGAGAACTCGAGGCATGCAGGCAAAATATAAAATTGGGATCTTTTCTTAACAATCAACGTTTCTTTTCAGTGCATTGTATGAACCCCAAGTTAAATTCACTTTAATCTTAATTACCTTCTGTGAAAGCAGATAGTATTATTAGCCTTCTTTCACATCCTGTTTTTTAGTACATCGCAATTCAAAGTTAAGCTTCATTAAATATATCTTAAAATTAAATACCACCCTATATCGTTATTATATATTGCTTCAAATATTTCGTAATTCGTATTGATTTTTTTTCTTATCAATTCACTGAAAAAATCTCGATGAAAGGTAATTTAAACGTGTTATTAAAGTACTGAGTGTAGTGAAATAAAATTTATATTTTCAGAATTAATAAAACAAAATTCCTGAAATTAATAAAATGAAATAACTAAAAACAAGTGATTGCAGAAATTCAATTATTCTTAAAAATTTTAATACAATTCTTGGCAAAATTTTATTTATTGTTAAAAATTTTCCTTAATTATATGATTTTTAATATTTATTATTTTAATAAAGTTTTCCAAAAGAATTCAATTATTTAAAAAAAAATTTATAAAAGTCTACGCAAACATTTAATTGTTTTCATAAATAATAAAAATTTCGCAGCAATTCAATCAATTACAAATTTTTTTAAAATAATTCCTTCGCAATAATTCAATTATTTTTATACATAATAACATTTTTACAGAGATTCAATTATTTTCGTAAATACTAAAATTTTTTGTAGGAATTCAATTATTTTTATAAATAATAATAAAACTCATTGCAGAATTTCAATTATTTTTAATACAATTTTAATCGAATTCCTCGAAAAATGTAATTATTCTTAAAAAATTTATTAAAATTCGTCCAAAGAATTTAATTATTTAAAAATTTGTTGATAAAATTTTTTATGAGAATTCAATTTTTCAATAAATTATTTATTTTTGTATTTAAATAATTGAATTCTAGTAGAATTTATTAATAAAAATTGATTTCAAAATGAGTATCATTTAAAATTTTAGATTATAATTGAATATTAAAAGCATTATATTCGAATAATTGAAATTTTTTAAAATTAAATTTTAAACAAATGAATTTGAAAATTCTCAAAGAACTTTTTAAAAAATGATTATAAATAATGGATTTAAAGAAGAAATTTAGTTAAAAAAAACATTTTAAAAATTTTAATTCTGGAGAAGTTACAAATTATTTCAGAAAAATTATGTTTTCATAAATAATAAAATTTTTTACAGAAATTTAATTATTTTCATAAATAATATAATTCTTTTTAGGAACTCAATTATTTTCATAAATAATCAAACTCATCGCAGAATTTCAATTATTCTTAATACAATTTAATTAACATTTCAGACAATAATTGAATATTAAAAGTAATATAGCGTGAATTTTAAGAAATAATTGAATTTTGAAATTAATTTTTTTGAAAAAGTTTAATTGCGGATTTTTTTTTGAATTTATCTGAAGTTTTTATTTTCTAATAATATATTTAATTGAAGAAGTTACGAATAATTGAAATTTCGAAAAATTGAATATTGTAAACTAGAGGCAGTTACCAAACGTTTGTGTTGAGTTTGTGTTGTGTTCAGAACACAACACAAACACACACTTAATATTTGTGTTCATTTGTGTTGGAAAGAGTCCCTGTTGTAAACAAATGGATTCGAAAATTGTCAAAGAACTTTTTTGAAAATTATTAAAAATAATTGATTGAAAGGGTTTAAAATTCTTGAAAATAATAATTTAATTAAAATGATGAAAATATTTTTGAAGAAGTACAATATTATTAAACATGAAGAAATCAATCACTCCGAGTCTAAGGCTCGGAGTGATCGATTTTTTCATGTTTTATAGTTATGGAAAAATTGAATTTATAGTTTTAAGTAAAATGTTCTTTTATTTTATTTATTTATTTTTCAACACTACTTTCACTGGTTTGAGCCCTGCGAATATCAAAAGAAAATAAAGCAACAATATGTACCTTTTTGTTTCTCCGGCTCGTGTTCGACAATAAATGCTGGCATGGCAGTGACCATTTGATAATCAGTATCGGAGTTAACATTTGATCCTGAGTTGTCATCCGAGGTGAGAAGTGTGTAAGGCGAAACGGCGTCGCCGCAACTTTTTCTCCCATACTTGGATCTCGATGGCCTTAATAAGGCAGGATTCAAGCCCTGCAGTTGACCTTCCGAGCTCTTCCTTGGTGTCAAGAATCCAGGAGGTTCGTCCAAAGTCAAAGTACTTGGCAGAGGACATCCCACCTCATCGGCACTGTGACGTCTTGCTTTTGATAATCTTTTGAACATCGCTTTCCTGCAAAGGTACAACAATAAAACAACCATTGGATTACATTTTTCGCTTCACTAAATCCTAGAGATATACAATATCTGCAAAGAAAAAAAAATATCTCAAACAAAAAAACTTTTTTTTTTAATAACGCCTCGATAACCTCAAGAGTAAACAAGCTCCAAGCTGATATCTGTCAACTTTCATTAATAATGCCATTTCAATTTCAATTTTTTCCCCTCCTTTCTTTATACTCTTTATCTCACTTATGTATACTGGCTTAACAAGAATTTTCTTGCTGTGAACATGAAATATTATAAAGTGAATTACAATATTTCGAATTACAATCTTGTGAATTACGATATTTTTAATTACAATATTGCAATAAAAAATTAGATAAATACCATTTGCCATCTTTTTATTAATTTAATTTTACTACTCCAATCAACAAAATTTAATTTAAAATCGAGTGAATTCTAGTGAATATTCTACAGAATGTCACTAGAAATAAAATTTTTCTTTTTTGAATTTCTCGCCAATAAATTTCTCAAAATTGCCGCCTAGATGGCATAAAAATTCTCTCATAAACGAAAAGAGCACTAAAAAAATAATATCTTAAAGTAAGAAGGAAATTCCGCTTAACAATTATTTTTACATTTTATTTTCAATATACGAATATTCATTTACAAAAAAAGGAATTTTTGTTTATATTTAAAAGTTTTTTAACTAAAAAATGAATTTTAATCTTTCTTCTTTGATTGAAATTATTCCTGTAAAATTGAAACAAATTTATAGCTACTAGAAAGAAAATTTTTAAGTTATTTGTTTTTCTGAATACAGCTCTTCAAACTGCGTTTAAAACATGACATTTAATAGAAAATATAAAAGAAAATCTTCTCAATTATAAAGGAAAATTTTAGTGCCCTTTTTTCGCTTTTTTGAGGAAAAAATGCTCTAGAAGAAGAGGAATCCTCTAAAATTAAAAAGACTTTTTTTTCGTTAAGCAAATAGAATATTAGTACATAAATCACGGTGGTGATGGAAAATTGTTTCGTTTCAATTTCAATTTCTTCAATAATTGAAATCCTGAGAAGAATTTTATTATTTATAAAAATCATTGAATTCTTGCAAGGAACTTTATTCAATTTTTTTTAAATACTTGCATTTTCGCGAAGAATTTAAAAAAAAACTTTTTAAATAATTGATTTTTTTTGAAAAATTTCATGAAAATTGTGTTTTAACTTTTAAATAATTTAACTCTTTGTGAAATTTGTATTACAGTAGGACCTTTCAATAGTGCAGTTCTGAACAGTGCAGTCATTAGTGAGTTGAGTAGACGAGGGGTTCCTGGAGGCGAAGGGAAAGGGAATCTGTGACGTCAAATACAGTGCCGTCGGTCATTTAATTGTTTAGTGTCATTTAGTGGTGCCAAGTATTTAGGAGTGGGGGACCCTTTATTTTCTTGACACGGTCCTAAATTATTACGTTTATGCACTCTTCGAATAGTGCACAATATTTTAATATAATTGAATTCTTTTTGAAAATTTTTTATTGAAACAGTAGACATTGGGAATAATTGAATTTCGACAAATTTTTGAAAATAATTGAATCGTTTGAAAAAATTTGATTAAATTCTTTTTCGAATTGTGAGAACACTTCAAGTTAAAAATTCAAGAAAATAATTTGATTTTGAAAGAAAAGCACAGCTGTAATTTTGTGAATAATTAAATTTCAAATGATTTGGAATTGAATTTTTTTTTAAATTTTGTGAAAAAATAAATAACAATAAGTACCTATTGTATTTAAATTTAAAATAAAAAAAAGTTAATTTTTGAAGTTCATACCAATAAAAATAGTACTACCTCGTTTTATTGAAATACAAAGTTTCACTTAAATTGGGTGCTCCGAAAATGTTTAATTTTAAAATAAAATGGCACTTAAACAAAATGTTTATACGCACTACAATAACATATTAATCGTGACGAGTTTATAGTCTTAAAAAGAATTGAAACTCTCAAAACCGAAGAAAATAGAAAAAAGCAAAAATGACTAATTTCCAAAAGTGTTAAAAATCGTGAGTTTTTAAAAAAAAATCTGATTTATTTTATCTAAACAGAATTTTTTTTATTTAAATCAACTTTTTTCTTTTGCTTTTTAGTAATGATCGTAAAAAATTAATTTTATGATAGAAGCATAAAGAATAGCTATACTTTTATTTTTCTTAAGAAACTATTTAACCAAACGACAATTATTATTATACGTAAAAATTAAAAAAATAATAATTTACTGAATTTTTTTTTATTTGTTTGAAATGTGTTTTTGCTACATTTCTCTAAATAAAAAAAAATGCGTGGGGGAAGATTTTAAACACAGAAGGATGCACAATTGCGCAGTGAAGCTAATAATGTTTATCACATTCCGTAATTAATCACAGTTTTGTAGCGTTCATAGCACCGTCGTATTTTTTTATTAGATAATGAGATAATGAAACGAGCGCAGACTTTAATGCAAGCATTTATGTCAATTGATCCTATTGTATGTAAATACATAACTGCGATGACAGCATCGGATCTTATCTCACGCGATGGTACATTTTCATTTCAATGGAAACGCTTTCTTAAGATGCGTGTGAGTGACTAAATTATACTTCTCTTTGAACAAATTTTCAAATTGAGCACAGCAAAAAAGAAACAACCGAAATTCTTTTTTTATCCCACATGCACAAAAATGGCGCTTTTAGATAGCTGACGACAGGGAGTAAAGTCACTCATTTGTTCGATCGGTTCGATCATATGAAAATGGCGTCCATTTTCTCCCATGTGCAAACATAACCGCTGATCCCATGCGTTATTTTTGCCCAAGGGAGAAAACGGCCGCCATTTTCATATAGGTCGAACAAGTGAATGACTTTTACTCCCTGTCGTCTGCTATCTAAAATCGCCACTTTTGTGCATTAGGAATAAAAAATATCGTAAGTAACAAACAAACAAACCTGACGCTCAGTCTTTGTCGAAGACTGGCGTTCAATCTTCAATCAATGCTGCGGAAGCCGAAAGCAGGACTGAACAAGACTGCTTCCACTGTTCCCAATGTTAATATATTAATTATTATTAAATTTGAAGAAGTTAACAATTTTCCCGAATCAATCTACACAAATAAATTAAATATCTTAAATAAATCTCGATAAGCTCATGGGCTTCAATGTATCGACAGCACAGCTGCCCTAATACAGAAACCTGCTTAATTTGAAAAATATTTTCGAAATTAATTAATAATTTCAAAATTATCAAAGAACTCAGAAAGGACAGCTGTGCTGGCGATACATTGAAGCCCATGAGCTTATCGAGATTTATTTAAGATATTTAATTTATTTGTGTAGATTGATTCGGGAAAATTGTTAACTTCTTCAAATTTAATATTTAATCACCGAATGATAAATTCACTTCCTTCAATTAATTATTATTATTAATAATAAACAGTATTGTTATTAATATATATTATGTATTTACATATTTAATGACAATAAGTTATTATTATAATAATTATATTATTTTCATATAAATATTATATTACTAACAATAAATGTCATTTAACATAATAATATTGAAAAATAATTTTAGCAAAAAAAGACAATTTGTGATAATTGGAACATTTTTTAACTTTATTTTTAACAGACTTTTAATATTATTTACAAACAAGTTCACAATTTTTTTTTAACAACACTTATTAATTATACAGATTAAATAGTAATTTTATTATTTTATGTAACGCTTATAATGAAAAAATCCGCTCGCATGTGGGATCGAACTCAAGTCCCCCCGCCCCAGACGCATTCCGGAAGTCCTTGACGCAACTACTTAAACCGCACGGCCACTGAGTCTCGATGAAAACTCGGGCTAATCTAATATATTAATGCCAGTGTCGTATATTTTGTTACTTATAAGGGCAAAGTGAAAACTATGACTAAAAATTTTACACATACTAATCCTGAATTATTTTAATTATTACTAGAACAAAAACGGCGCGCGTCGCACGCCCAATCCTAATCATTTGTGACAAAAAAAATCTTAAATTAAGAACACAACAATTATGCAAAATTATTTCACTAATTGTGTTCATAATAGGTAAATTACAAAGTAAAAACACTACAGATTTTTTTCATCAGTTTATTATAACTTTTATTATATCTTTACTAATATTGTACACTACCGGTCAAAATTGAGAGACCACCCATTGTCAGGTGAATAAAAAACAGTTTAAAACATAAAATGTATGGAAACTAAAATTTGTTTCTTTCTTTTTTTTTAATGATGTTAAAATTTTAAAAAGCGTAAGGTTTTTCAAAAGTCATATGGCCAATATTTTATTTAGATATTTTTAAAAAATCGTCATTTTCAATGTTTTACAAGAACTTTAATTACTTCTAAAATAATAAATGCTTTTTAATGATCTTATGCTTATTTTAAAAGTGATTTTCTAAAGAATAAAAATCACTTATAGGCATTAACGTATAATTTTTTTTCTTAGAAGATGCATGTCGTCAAACTTAGATAATAAAATTCCAGAACTTTGAAATAATTCTTTTTTTCTAAAACTATTCTAGAAAATATATAAAATATAATTTGGTGTAGATTTTTTAAGGTAGTTTAATAAAATCATGTTTGTATTTTAAAAATTATTTTTCTGTTAATAAGATTGTTTAAAAGATTTTAATTTTTTAATCTAAGTTTGACAACCTGCATTTTCTAAGATAAAAATTACACGTTAATGCCTATAAGTATTTCTCATTTTGTAGAAAATCACCTTTAAAATAAGCTTAAAATCATTAAAAGCGTTCACTATTTTAGAAGTTATTAAAATTTCTGTAAAACATTGAAATTGACGATTTTTTAAAAGTATCTAAATAAAATATTGGCCAAATGACTAACGAAAGATCTTGTTCGATTCAAAATTTCATCATCTTTTAAAACATAAAAAAAATTTAGTTTCACTACATTATATAATTTAAAATGTTTTTCATTCACCTG